GAGTGTACTGATAGCTTCACCACATTTCTCCCTTCACTGCCCTGCAGTTTAAAGCGCCAAATCAGAATGTAAATCACCACTTACTGGAGACAAGAAAAACAAAGTAGTATAAAAGGCTCTGCTCCATTACGTAAGAGAGTATTTAGCAGAGCTTGCTGCTGGGTACAACAGACAAAAGATGTCTTGGGGTCTTATTTCTTAAACTTGGGAGCCTGCAACACCCAAAGCGACCACCCCAACTTCTTCTGGTGAGGTTCTGCCCACGTTCTGAAGGTTTCAGTTTTCCAAAACAGTGCCACCAGATAGAAATCAAATGATCAAAACACTGTGATTCAAACCACAACACTCAATATAGTAGCAAAATCAAAGAATACGGTGTATTATCTGGAATAGCTACATTGGTATTTTTTTCTAGCTATATGGAAGACATAGTATTGACGGTGAGTATTAGCTCTGATCACATTTGTTGGCAAGCAACAGAGAAAAGTAGAAGCATTTGCCTGAAGTTGACACTGCAGTTCCTTGACATGGCTTGGTCCCTAAATACTTAGAAGAATTTAGTTTTCATGGCCATAAATGACCGCCATGTGTATAATAAGCTGAGAGTTTTGGCATCAGATGTATAAACTGAGGACGTGATGGCTCCAAAGGTACGGGTGAGGGGAAGGTTTTTATTGTAGATATGAGGGAAAGAACAGCCAGAGGCATCAGCAAGAGTCCAGAACAGGAAGAGAAAGTAGTAGATTGACCGTGACCACGACAGAAGAGAGAGAGGGTGGGGAGATCGAGAGAGGGAAAGAGGAAGAGAGAATTCGGGTAACAAAATGGCAGGGTTGTATAAGAATGAGAAGCTTGGGGAAGGGTGGGGGCGTGGTGAGAAGAGCTGAGAAGAGCCAGGGTGCCAGCATGGCCTCTGCTATAGGCATTTATGCTGCTGAGAGAGCCTGGAGGCTAGCGTGTGCTTCGGTATGCTAATATGCACCGAAATTAAGCATTTGTCTGGACAACAGGGCTCCTCCTGCACAGGTAAAAAGAAATAATACAACAGTCAAAGGTAAAGTTGACTCTGCGTAGCCTTGGCTGGCCTGGAGCTTGCTTGCTGTGTAGACCAGGATGGCCTGGAACTCACAAGAGATCTACCTGCCTTAGCTTCCGGAGTTCTGGGATGAAAGGTGTGTGCCATTACCCTAGTAAAGTCTGTCCTTTTTTTTTCAAATCAGAAACACAAAACAAGACAAAGTGGCTCTTGGAAGCCAAATCTAAGAATCTTCTGTTTACATCTCATAGGCTATCCCTCCATCTCGTAGCTCTCCCACCTGCAAGATGGCCCCAGGCAGCAAAATAGTTTTAGTAGGGGTGTGGCTACCTTTTCCACCGTTGTTTCCTCTAAATTAAATCATTCACTTTCCCAGGAAAGAGAGAGGCTTCTAAAACTCAGGAAGCTAAAGAAATCCACTTTCAAGGCTGAGGAGACTTGCAAAAAGTTAACCTTCTCCCTAGGGCTTAAGGTAAGTCGGCAGCTGTGGGAGAGGAGCCCTTTGAGTGGAACTGGCTAAAAGCTGGCCTGCCGCTCACCCACGCTCCTCTAAGGAACCTCAGTCAGCTCATTGCTTTACCTTGTAAACTAGACCAGGGTGGAATTATTTCCTTGGTCTGTTGTTTGTGCCATATCAGGGGTGAAGAGACGTTTGTTAAAGAGTTTCCCTGGAAGTCACACAGCCTCACACAGAACAATATAGTGCCCTCCACCCCCTACAAATCAACAAAGCCGGGAATGGATGTTATAGCATCTACTAAGGATGTAAATCTGTAGTTAAACTTTCATTAGCAATGTCGACAGTACCAGAGACCATTCCTCTTAAATCCAAAGCTCAGTTTAACAGAGGGCTCTGATCCTTAAACTCTCATTAACCAAGTCAAATGTGAAGAAACAAGTGCATCTGGGTTTCTCAAACTCGTCACATTTCCTGTTCTTCGGGTTCTTTTATTTATTTATTTTTCTCCCAGTACGCAGTTTCAAAGTTAGACTCAGAAATCAAAAACATGCAACCGCTACTGAGCGGTTGACGAAGAAAACCCGAGAGCACTCTGTGATGTGAAAGGAGCACGGAGGAAGAGGAGAAGCTTGCCTCCCATTTCCACACCGATGTTACTAGTTAACAGACTAGCCATGTTTTAAAGGCTTTGTAGCTCCTCAGCCGCTAACTTTCTCACCGTGACCTTACTACACTGAACTCGTACAACGAATCTCAAGCTCACCTTCTAACATCGGAGCAGACAGTTGAAGATGATAACTATTTTCTGAAGAACTGTATTTGTTTCCATTTATGCGATAACTACAAATAAGGCTTTTAACTGTTGGAACCTTCCTCTTCACCCAGAAAAGTTTGGAGAGCTATTTGCCCTAAAAAGATGTGAAAAGAAATACATGGTTTTTAAACACTAATAGATTCTGCACCCAGAGGAAATCTTACACATTTTCTTAAAAATCATTGAGTGTTTTGACTGCACATATGTATACACGGCACTTGCATGCCTGGTGGCCTATGGAGGTCAGTGTAACAGGCTCTCAGACCTTAGTAGTTCTCCAGATCTTAGCTCAACTGACTCCATGATGAAAGTAACGTTCAGGCCATAAAACTCAGCCCATAGACAACATCACCTGTCAAAACAAAAACCGAACCCAGAAAAGACTATAATTCTGGGAAGGTCTCTAAATGTACTAACCTTTCTAGGCTTCTGTAGTTCCGATTCTGCCTGGTTTTGTTCTTGTTAACTGAAGTATGTATGGTTTTGTGCTTGAAAGTTCATCCTGAGTCGGGCTGCTCACGTCTTTAATCCCAGCACCTGGGAGACAGAAGCAGGTGGATCTCTGCATTCAAGGCCAGCCTGGTCTACAGAATGAGTTCTAGGACAGCCTGATTATATAGAGAAACCCTGTATGGAAAAACCAAAATAAAAATAAAAATAAAGCTCATGCTGAGAAAGTCTCGGTGCTGTACTGGGATCCTGAACACCCAGTGTAGCTGCCAGTTGCTAACAAAGACTTTCTATTGGCTTAAGCCATGCCTGAATGGTCTTCTCTGGTGAACACCCCACAACAGTCAGAAGAGAATGCTGGATCCCTGGAACTATATGTGAGCCACCATGTGGGTGTCAGGAATTGAACCCAGGTTCTCTGAAAGAGCAGCAAGTGCTCATAACTTCGGAGCCATCTTTTTAGCCCCCGGGGAAAGAGTACAAGTTTTCTAACCGAAGGTTTAATTTTCTCTTTGGTGCTAAATGAGAAATTTGTTCAAACAGGAATATACAAAGTTAGCTGCAAACTTTAGTCAGATGATGATAGTGTAGAATTTTGCTTAAGGGCGTATGATCTAAAGGCCAGGGTCATTAGCTGTGTAACAATGAGCAAATTACTCAGCTTTTCTGTGTGCCTCAGTTTCCTCTTATGTAAACGGGGAGTCGCACCGGAAAGATGATTATGATAATTGATTAATTAATACAAAGACAAGCAAAGTGAGGGGCAGTTATCAGCAGGCATAAACACTGGCCATCATTTTACCCGTTAGGAATTCTTCCCCAGTGAACCCGATGGCCTCTATTCTGGGTCATGTTTATCAGCAACCTTTAAAGCCCAGTGTGTGGAAGGTCTCCTAATTTAAGATAGCTTCACTCATCCAGACATGTGGAAGTTAGCACTTTCGGACCCAGCAGAGAGAACACTTGCCACATGAAAGAGGGCAGGTTTTTCTGTGTGCAGGGGGCCCTTCTTTCCATTTCTATGTCAGTGAGCAGGCTTTGGGGATAAGTGTTCCAGGCGCAGCTTCCTGCTGATTGATGTCATTTAAAAGCCACACTCTGCCTAGGCTTATGTTAAGACCTCAGGGTCTTCAACACCCGGAGGGAGGGGTGCCGGCGCAGGAAAAACAAAAGTTAACTTTACAGAGTGGCAACCAGATTACCCTGGGGACCGCTGCTTGCAAACAGGTCTAGACATGATAATCCAGCAGTTATATAACTCCACTCATTCACGATGAACCATGGGCTGGAACCCAATATTCAGAATTCTTGCTTGGTTATTAATTCATTGTTAACTTTCGCTAAAAAATTGTGTAATTCAAGATTTCTGATAAGTTATTACAAACAACAGATGTGAAGTTGATTATGTGCACCTGGAGGTATAAAAGGTCCATTTATGGGGCTGGAGAGATGGCTCAGAGGTTAAGAGCACTGGCTGCCCTTCCAGAGGTCCTGAGTTCAATTCCCAGCAACTACATGGTGGCTCACAACCATCAGAATGAGATCTGTACACACAGTAAATAAATAAATCTTTAAATACTGTATGCATAGTAAGTAAATCAATCTTTTTTTAAAAAGTCCATTTATAAAAATAAATAAATCTACGTGAAAAAGCATTCTTTTAAGAATCAATTGATGTCCTTAAGACATCGGTGTTGTGATTGGTAAATACTTCCCAGGAACAGAGCTGAATTTATTTCTCAGTTTACGTAAAAACCAAGTCTTACAAGCAAATGCTATTTTCTGTGCATCTGTACTAAATCTATTGCTACTATGGTATGTATTATATAAAGAAGGACTTATTTTTCTCCAAAGGATGTAATTAGCAAAAGGCCGTGGGTCTCCTAAAGGGTGAGGTGAGGGAAAGGCGGAGGGGGAGAGGATGGCGCAGGCTCTCTGGGGTCAGGTTAGTTTGTCACGTAGCAAAGGTCAGCGCAGGGCCGAGATGGGTCCTTATCTGGAGACTTAAAGCGTGCGCCGTGGGGCTCCTGCACGACCCCGCCGCCTCCGCGGCGCGCCCCGGGGGTCGGGAGGTGGCGGAGGTGAGGGCTGGCGTGCCCGGGTCTGCGGAGCATCCCGGTCCCCAGCCCAGAGGCCGCGCCCACCCCGGCGAAATTTCCAGAGGCCGAGCCGGGGCCGGAGCCTTGCGCACGGGGGATGCGGCGCAGGTCCACCTTAAAGGGGCCGGCGAGCTGGGCGCGCGGCCCCGCCGGCTTACGCGCTTCTATTCCCGGCTAAGCCAAGGTCACTCTTTAATACGACCGCCCGAGCCAGCGGGCCGAGCTGCGGGCGGGCGGGCGGGCGGG